GGGGGCAGCTGTGATGACACCCCACCAGGATCGTGGTGCCGGGGGCAGTGCGCTCCCCCTGCCCCCTCTTCCTCCACCAGTGCCACCAGCCTAACCTACTTCACAGGGTTGTTGTGGGGATTAAATGAGAAGGGGTGGGGAGGTCCATAGATGCCCACTTGAGCTCCTTGGTGGGATAAAAATGCAATAAACAAACAAATAAAAGCAGTGTTCTTATTTGCTCCCCCCCTTTACATTCCTGTCCCCCCTTTCTTCCATCATGGAAGGCTGCATATGGTTCCCAGGCAGTAACCCATCCAGGCACTCACCAGACCCGGGCCTGCTTAGCAAAACCTCAATGCGCTTTCTGACCATCCCCTGGATTTGCTAAAAAGGTACCACTTGCAAATTGTGAATACAAGTATCGCAGCGAGATGCATTTTACAATGTTTGCATTGTTTTTGTCTGATGGGTGTAAACTCAATCGTTACACAGAGGACAATGCTGGTGCAGGTTTTTGGGATGTCAGTGGGCCCACCTCCTCTTTGCCACTGTCAACAGTGGCCATTTTATTGCCCTGTCCCTCTAGCCCTGGTCTATGCAGCTACACAAAAAGAGAGTGCCTTCTCTGCTCCTTCCCATTCCTTCTAGGGAATGGCACATTTGAATGAATTCCCAGCCCATATTAAAGAAATCCCCATGTATTAAAGAAATCCCCACTTATAGAGAGCTAGCATGTCAGGGAGAAGGACTTGCCTCTCCCTCAGACTAGAAATGTATGGGCAGGAGGTGCTTAACATGGAAAAGTCTGCAAATGGCCTCCTCTGTTCATAGGAGGAAAATGCATCTAGGTTGCAATCCTGCAAACATCTGTTAGCCTCAACCTAAATGGTCCTTACATCAGAGGATTGTGTTTGTTGTACCTTGTTCTGGACACCCAAACCCATCAGCTCATCAGGGCATGCTCTTTCCCCCATCACAACTGCGCATCTAGCAAAGTCAGATTTATATGGGCATCAGCAATCCCATTGCCTTTGGTCTCCCTCCTGGTTGCAGTTCACCTTTATCAGCACCCGACAGCCACACTGAGCAACGGGAGGGTTTGTTTTCTCACCATTCTGCATTGTGGCAGTAGACTGCAGCACAGATAGCCGTCCTCTAATTTACCTTTTGCTGATTTATCACCTCCCTAATGATACAATAGATTTTCTCATTAGTTTATTCTTATTATTTATTATTGGTATTGGTATTTTCCTTTTCTGAAGGAAAATGAAAACAAAGTAGAGCCATGGCCTGGCTGCAGAGGAGGGGTGTTATTTTCAAGAGTTCGGCAAGGCTGCAAAGAATGGATAGTTTCCATGTTACCAGTGTTCAATCACGGGCATTTGTCTTTTTGTATCCCAAAGCAATTGCATAACTCTAATATTGACCTTAACTCGAGCCCTTTGTTTCTCACCCTAACAGCCAAAAGCATTAAAAATGCGTGTTTACTTAATTTGTCCTGGCATGCAATGTAATTACAAGCAGTTTGTTTTCTCTCTTGTAAAATATAGGCAAGAGAGGGAATAAAGTAATGTGGAAAATTAACATTGTGATGTACTGTATAGTGGAATAACACTAAAAGCACTTAGCCGAGTTAGCACTGGAGGTGCTATTTGTGTTGTGTGCAAGAGCCATAAAGCATTAAATGCCTCTTTTCTCAACTATATTTGCATGATTTTCGACGGCACTAAAATTAATCTGATCTGCCTCTAAGTACAGAAGGAAAGGGGAGAGAAGGGGAGATGAATGAGCAGAACAGGGCTTCAGTTGGCTTTAAAGTGACATCCGTGCTTTTGTCGAATCCTACAGCACAGCTTAAAAGATGATCGCAACTGCCTTTTCTCCATCATCATCATTATTTTTAACCTGTTATGGATCAAAGGATAAAGATGTAGCTAATCAAAGTCTACATGGCAACATTATCCAATTATTAAATTCCCATCCTGTTCTTCCTCCCCAAAGAGGAGGCAAACACAGAAGTGATAAAACAATTAAAAATAAAATAAAAACAATTAAAAGCTTCCCTGAAAAATGTAAAAGTGTTAATGTAGTAACTGGTAATGACGGAGATACGTATTGTCTCTAGTTACCATGGATTGGAGCTAAGACACCACCCTCTAGCTTGTTCTTATGATTACTTTCATTTTCCTGGGCCTACAAAGTGAATAAGCTTGCCTTAGGTTAAATAAGAACTTAACAGTTAAGAACATCTAAAAAGATAGTGAAGTCCTTCTCTGTTGGACCTGATACTAATGCGCCAGCAACAAGAGAAAATGTACAGGGAATGGGGAGATGAGTGGGCAATCAAGGTCAAGACTATAGAATGCAGAGACTTATTCAGTTGGTGTGTTTTCTCTTCCGTTTCTGTGATGTATTCTACTTTGATCACCAGTGTGGTATCAGACCAGAATGGAGACCCAAGCCTGCATATTGAACTGGGGCTTGTGAGGATAAAAGGCAGGGAGGAACAGAGCCATGTATATGTCTCACTCCCACCCACGTTCTTCAGAGGTAGGACAGGATAAAAATATATAAGTATAATTTGGCAGGTTTGAGAACTGGAACAACTTTTTGGCTGGTGCATGTTAAGCCCCTTATGATATGTGGGAGGTGGGAATGCCCTAGTGGTGGATGATCTTCCGTGGGAAACAGACTGCATGAGTGTGACCCTGTTGATTTGTCTGGATCTTTCAGTATAATTCTAGAGTGCCTTGCTACGTATGACTTGGTGGCTCTGGTCTTTCCTGGAGGGTGGGTTTCAGAAGACAGTGGTGGTAGAATAAGGCTTGGTTACAGCTTGTGGCTTGTCTGGAGTGGCACAGACCATGAGCCCACATACTGCTAAGTCAAACCATGGCTAAACCCTAGGTAATGTGAACCTTCATGTTTGCTCATTCATGCCGAACCATGGTTTGTCTTAGTACTACATGTGAATTGGATCATTGTGTATTTTGGTAACAAATCTAGCAATTGGAAATATTTGTTGCCAAGGAGCTAATAATTTAAATTTCAGTGCAAGGAAGACAACAAAAGGATCAAGAGAAATGGGAGAAGCTAGGAGAAAGGTATTTATTGAAAACATTTTTGCCACATTCTTTAGCTTAAAAGATTCCCTGAGCCGCATATAGATCTTTAAAATTGTCCCTCCTTCATCCTTGCCCTCAGGTTTAAAAGGCAGGACACAAAAGGAAGAGAACACGAGGAAAATAAACAGTTCTTATGACGACCAGCTTTTATATAAACCATTAAGGGAGAGAAGGAGTCAAATGGAGCTGGTTTCTCAGCAGAAGACAAGGCCTGCTTCCCACTGAAGCTGTCTGATGGAATGGCTGCTGCCAGGTGACGCCTGAGGAGCTGAGGGATCCAAAACAACTACACAAACTTAAGGTATCATATCAGCAATGGATGGAGGACAGAGGAGCTACGATATAGCGTTCACTGTGAAACTGCTCAATTTCACCCCTAAATGACTCTGGCCCCAAATATCTCCACCCTCCTCTACAGACCCTCTCAGCAGAGGAGCCCTTTTGGTAGTTCCACCACCCTCAGAAGTTTGGGTGGTGGCAGCCCAGGAGGGGACATTCTTTGTGGCAGCCCTCAAGCTGTGGAAATCCCTCTGCACAGAGCTGTGTTTGACATCCTCATTCTGTAGTTTCCATTGTATGCTGAAGACATGCCTCTTTCCCTAGCCTTTGACATCTGAGATTTATATTTTTTTAATACCCACCCCATTCTCTTTATTGTGTTTGCTTTAAACTGATTTTAATATGTCTTTTTAAATTGCTGTAACCTGCCTTGAGTGCTTATGATGAAGGGTACATAAAAAAATACATGTAATAACACTAGTAATGGCTAACAGTGCTAAGAAACACTCTCATTCATTTTTTTCTGTGTAAAAAATTTATTTTAGACTTGATAACAATGAATAAACTGTTCATCCCTTTTGTGGGAGGGATGTTTTTACCCTGGATAAAGAACACATCACTCATGGTTCACATCTGGATAGTAAATTCTTCACAGTGTCTGCAGTATTTTGTTATCTTAATTATGCCCCCCCCCCGCAGTGACTGGCCTTGTTGTTCTGTGGTAGCTGTTAACACACCATATTCCCCCGATTCATATTTTTGGAAGCTTGATAACGTTTACAAATGCCTTATTTTTGCACACAGAAAAACTCAATCTAGCTTTCTGTCCCTCTGCAGGGCAGTGGATCTAAAGTTGCCACACAACTTTATTTTTGCAATAGCAAGATGAAATGAATATGAATGCAGAACGGGAGCCTTTTAGAAGTCATTGAGCGCTCTACCTCTCACTTTCTTCAGACTGGAGGTAGGAAAGTCATTAGATTAACCTCTCTTGACAGGTCAGGCTCAGCAAATATTCTTAAAAATAACTCTTACAGTAATTTATGACCTTTTGGGAGCATAATCAATAGTGCTAAGACGAGAGGCAGCCAGACTGCGCTTCCTGATAGGAGAAAGTTTCTTGTCTTTGTAATGTTTGCGTTCTGTCTGGCAGTCAGCCTCACTGCACACAAGCAGTGATATCATAGCCCCTGCTACTCAATCAGATTTGGAGACATACATTTTTATTGTCAATGTACTGTCTCCTCCGTGATTTCATACAGTATCTGATTCCAGAAGAAACTGGTGTGCAAATGTGATTGCAAAGCAAAGGAGGGAAGCTGCACAGACCAATTTCTGCTGTGTCTATTGTCTCCCCTCTGAATCATTCGATAACAGAGACATTCTTGCAGGCTGAAAGAGGCAAAGCGTGGACCTTGTCTTTGCATTATAAAACAGCCCTGAAAGAAAAATAGAATAGAAAAATAGAGTATCCCACATAAAAATACCCACCTGGGGAGTAAGCCTTTCGTAAATTGTTGTTAGAGAAATCCTTGCAGTGTCTAGATCTGGCATTTCGATGTTCCCTTTGCTCTGTGACCCACTGAAGCCATGCTTCCAAAGTTCTGTTTCCTGGAAATGGTTTATAGTGGTGGAACACCAGCTTTAGATGCAGAAGGTCCTAGGTTCAATCCCTGTGAGAGACTACTGAGCTAGATGAACCAGTGTTCTATCTCAGTAAGAAGGCAGCTTCTTATGCTTCTGTACACATTCTTCTTGACAATCCTTTATTATATGTCTCATTTCTAAGCCCCATGTGTGGTTTTGATGTAGCTCCACTGTTGCCTTGGGTTCTACTTCTTTAGTCAACCATTTGCTTGGTGTCCTCCTTCACTACCCACTGCTTATTCTGTTTGGCTTTCACTGCTCATACACTTGGCCAGCAGCACTCATATCTCAACCTTCCTCCTTCTTGGCACATCACCTCATCTGCCTTTACATCCTGATTAGGCTTTCCTGAGGATTTCCCATTTCATTAGTGCCATGGGAAATTTAAGAGGCTACACCATGGCTCTCCCCAACAAGAACAGAATGGGCACAGGAAGCTCCTGACTCTGCCCAGATACAACTAAGACCAGCGCCACCTATTGATTAAACTATATAATGACACTATCCACACAATTAGTCCCACTTTTCTTCACCTTTCTTTCATGTCTTTCCCTTTTCATTTTTCCTTTACTTGTTCTTCCCTTAGATAATAATATATCTTACCCAACAGCCAACCCTTTTATCCTGGAATCACAGACTGATGGGCTCTCTTCCCACTTAATTTTAAATATTTTTAAGCCTCTTTCATTCTGTATGCTTTCAGAATGGCACACAGTTTCATTTTAGGGCATTTTCCAGGTTCTCCTTTCTAATTATCTGTGACGGGCAGTTACTAAGGAGAGCCCGGGGCCTTCTTGGTGCTGGTGCCCTGACTGTGGAATGTCCTCCCCATTCTGGGTTCCACATCAGGTGTTTTTTGACGCCAGGTGAATATTTTTCTCCTAGGCTTTTAGAATTATTTGTCATTTCCCTTCCTGTTTTTGTTTTTGTTTTAGTTCTGCTTACTGATTGTATGCTGTTGTGTGGGCTGTATGCGGCTTTTATTAATTTTGTGCTGGGGTTGCCTTTATATATTGATTGTTTTTAGTACTGTTGATTGTATTTGCATTTGTTGATTGGCTATAAGAGAAATAAAAGCATGAAAGGCATGAAAGCATAAAAAAATCAATTTAAGAAATACCAGAAAACTCATACACTTTTGTTAAAAAACAAAACAAAAGAAATACTATTGAATCTAAGATTTTATATTAGAAAGTCCAAGCAAACAGGAAGTTATTTACCTTCTCCATTTTGTCTGCTTCAGACAGACCCTTCTGTATGTCTATCGGAAGTGCGAAGGTTTTGCTGTCAACCAAACTGATATCTTTCCACTTTTTTTACAAAGACCAGATTCTGAGCAGTTTGCTGCTGATCATTTGTTCCCATGGTTGTTGAAAATACACCTGTTCATCCATACATTCATCCTGCTTTTTGGTTTTAAGAAGTTATGATTTGGTTTGAGCCTTTGAGGGGAGGATTAGAACCAAATTAGGTATCACATTGCATGTAGCTAAGGAAAGCTGACATCCTCTTTGCATTGTTGTATCAGTGTATTGATTGTTTTGGGTGCTAGGTATCCTTTCAACTTCAGGGCTAAGTCTAAGAGATACTATATGACAGAATAAGACTATTAAAGAAAAGAACCAAAAGTAAAGACAAACAAAAAAGAAAACATAATCAAGCTTTGCTTGTTCGTACTTTTGATGTTACATTAATAAAAAAAACCTTTATATGAAAAAGTAAACTAAAAAACTGTAACAGGGCAAAACACTGGTATATACAGGAGTATCTGTTTTACAAACTGAATGTATATAATGGCCCCATATCTATGGCACACAGAGTGAGGTGCAGGTAAGTCCAGTTGATTTCAGTGGGTCGAAACAAATCTTACTGTATTGGATCTAGAAACTGGATTATTTAGTCAAAATGGTGTGTGATTCAGATGAGCCAAAAACAGATTGAGTTTGTTGCCAGACCTATCATTTTACTTTTCACGAAAAAGTCTTTTCTGTATTTTGATATAAACCCATTCACACTGATGGTTCATTATTGATGCTCATCAAAGTAAGCAAACATTAAAATTACATTGTTGAGTTGCTAACTTTCTGCATTTCTTCCTCTGTTTTTCTACAATTGCATGTGCATCTCATACAATGCTTTATTCACTAGCCGTACAGGAACTTGAGGGATGTTAAGTTTGTCAGTAGGGACTCTATACTTTGTAAAATATTGAATGGGCTTTCATTTTAGTATCAGCGTAAAAATACATGTAATTGGAGTAGGCATACATTAATTAACTTTCATATTCTATTATCATAATGATTCTTTCTTCTACTACAGTATGTTGCCAGATTTCCTAAGATAAATTTTGTTTCTGTTTAACATTTAATAAAGTAAACTGGATGCTTCCCAATTAAACTTTCCTATAACTTCTTCAATCAGATAATATAATTAATTTAGGAACAAAATCTCTTTGCTATTTTAATGCATTTATGCTGGCAATGGGGTTATATTGTATTATAAATCCCCAATCAAATATTCTGTTTTTTGGAATTGTATTTTATTCTCTTTTAAGTTTTTTTGGGGGAGGTTTTTTTTTTGGTCTTGCATTTTGTTATGTTCATTTGTTGGGTTTAAATTTTATTTATAAATTGTGTGAATACACTTTTCTGCACTGCCCTGGAATGCTGGCCTTTCTTCTTTAAATTCATTTAGTGCAAAGCTGGAGCAACTCCATACTTCAAGGAGGGTGAAGAAAGTGTTCCTCACACCTCCAGCACCTTGTCTGAAACTCTTATTGAAATATACCTGCATGAAACCAAGCACAATAACTAGTTCTTTCTCTGACCCTGTACCATTTGTTTAGGCTTGCTACTAAATAATATATTGATTCCCCCACTGGATTGGCTGGTTGGTGTGGAAAAACACGAGCAAGCAACATGAGTAACTTCCAGTGAAGGTCGGCCCATTAGGGTAAATCACCAACCTCTACCAGCACCCACTTTCCTTACATCCAGTCCAGGGATGGCACTGTACATCAGATTCCCTTTCCTTAGTGTCAGTCTTGCCCTTCTGCGATAAGACACTAGGATGTTAATGAATTTAAGGCTTGATCAACTGTTTCAGGGCAGCCCAACCTTTCATACCAAGTGGGCCACAAGAGTACTTTGACATGGAACCTGTGGGCCACACACTGCCTTGTCACACACAGATGGGGTGAGCAAGGCCAAAATTTCACACCCAGCCCAGCCCTCATGCTGCCTTTCCATAGCTGACCAAGCAAGGCACTGGGCTTTGGGAAGGAGATGTGAGGCTCTGGCAGGGTCCTAGAGCACTCCCACTCCATTCCCAAAGCAGGGAAAGCACTAACTAGGCTTTGGGAAGGAGGAGGGAGAACTCTAGGACCCTGTCAGAGCCCTCACATCTCCTTCCAGTGCCTCACTTACCCAGCTTTGTGAAGGCAGCGTGAGGGCTGGTGGTGAGAGGCATCAAAAGTTGCTGAAGGGTGCCAAAAAAGGCTTTGAGGGCTGTGTGTCAGATCACCCTGGATTAAGTCAATAATGATTAGGGACATAGACCAACTCCCTTATGAGGAATGGTTGCAACATTTGGGGGTTTTTTGTTTAGAAAAATAAGGCAAGTGAAGGAGGTTATGATAGAAGTTCAGAGCACATGAACAGGGAGATGTTTTCTTCCACTGGAACGCTGGGTCATCCAATGAAGCTGCCTGGTGGGAGATTCAAAACAGACAAAAGGAAGTACTAGTTCAAACAGCAGCACGTAGATGAACAATGCAATTCACTATCACAAGATGCAATGATGGGCACTAATTTGGACCACTTTGAAAGGGGACTAGATAAATTGATGGAGGATAAAGGTATCCTTGCCTATTAATCAGGATGGCTATATGCTCCCTTCAGGATCAGCATGTCTTTGAATATAGTTGCCGGAGAGCAATAGTGGCAAGGGCTTTTGCCCTCATTTCATACTAGTGGATTTCCTACAGGCAACTAGTTGGCCTCTGTGGAAAACAGAATAATCACCTCAATAGGCCTTTGGTCTGATCCCACAGAGATCTTCATATGTGCTTTAGCTTTAACATTTTCCTGAATCATTGAAGTTGTCATAAACTGTGTTAAAGAGTAGAAACCACAACTTTTAAAATGATTCATTACCTCTGCATATGATTCCATGTTAACAGAATTCTCATTCATCCACTTTCATAATTATCTAGTTCCCATTTTAAATATCAAGGATGTACTGTATCCATTTTTCTAAATCCACAGTTCTCAAAAAGAAATAGCATAGCTTTTCAGAAAAGCTTGTGTATAATCAGCACATGGGCTTATGTGTTTTTGTAAATATGATATGAACAGAATGATCAATATGATTGTTCACAACATGCCTTTAGCATGAAAGCATACTCAGCTGTGGTAAGTTTGTATGAAACAGATGACTGGATAGTTCTGCTTTCTTTACCCTGCATAACAGTTTATGCTGTAGCTTTGTAGTTATGTTATATTACAGTTTATGGTGGGTTAAACATAAAGGGAAAGTTTCCATTTTGCATTGTTATGCTGTAAATGGGTAGTAGAGCTCATGACATCTAGATTTAAAAACAAAGCATGTTCTTTTCTTTCTTGAAGACTGAAGTTCAAATGAAAGGGTAAATAACTGTAAATGAAAAGCTACAATACTTGCTAAAGCTGTCTGAGATCAAATGAAAGTAGTAATATCAAATGCAAGTCAGTAAGAAAACCCAAAAATACATCCTGTGAATGTAAACAGATACAACTGATCAATCTTCCGTGGTGCCGCCTGGTCTTACTGAGGTTGTGGTTCTAGCAAGGTCAGTTATGAGATCCAAGGGCCTTGATCACGGTTTGTATAGAGTCATTTGCTTTCAGTGCAATATATCCAATGTGTAGAGTCATCTATACACTGAGTCCTTTATGATGGATGAAATGATTACTGAAGCAGAAGATCAACTAAAAGGGGCAGAAGAACATATTCCTCTTATGAAACTGGGTATCCCTAGTAAAGTCTACCCAATGATTTT